TCATGACTAATGTTGCTTTCGATCTCGATCGCCCTCATGATCGAAGGCATAAATAGTCAACATTACCTAAAATACGCCTCATCCAAAGACCGTGATACACTTGGACATAAAAAGGATAAAGCTATTGCCGTTGATCAATTCCGTCAGAATCCGGCACGCATTCTACTTCCATTTGTACATTCGCAGTGGCGTTTGAATGCGATGTGGCCTATACAATGACTTGCGGGGGCCAGCCGATGTGTGCACAAGTCAGTGTTCTTATCCTCTTAGATAAGTCCGGTATCAATTTACCAACCTCGCAGGGATGCAAGGTTTGGTTGGCTAGGATGAAGCATGACAAAGGATTTGATTCCCGGACCGCGCGCGTGGTAAGCGTGCCACTTGCCACTACACACCACTTTCGACATTTGACATGCTCCAAAATAATACATCCTTTTCGCTCTAGCTGGAAGCCTCAAATAGTGGCATCTCTACCGTAAAACTTCAAACACATCCAGCAACCGAAGTGTCCCACACAATCCCTCAGTTGAATGCTTGCTCAAGCTATGCAAGTCAGATGGAACAAGGGAGTCTTTCGCTCGTGCACAGCCATTTGTGAAAGTAAAATGATACGTTCCTGCACTTTCCTGTGTTTTCAAGACTCACGTAGTAATATGTGAGGGAAGAATCAAAAAATAGAAAAGAGAAGTGAGAAATTGTCGATGAAGCTCATTTCGCTCACAAGGAGAGACTAGTAGTCCCTGTAGGGAGACTTTTGTAGAGAAACTTTGCAAGCCTTCAAACTAGGTTTCCCTCGAGAAAGCATTTCGAATCCTGGGACGAAATTGATGATTGCTTCATACAGACTATTCGTCAAACACCCGAAGCACTCTGTGAAGGTTGAAGGCAGTTAATTTGAAGAACCACTGAGAAATATTATATTATCATATTTGTACAAACGATAGTAATATTTATGTTCGAGAATAATTCCCGAAATACTTGTTCGAGAACGACATCCAAGTATTGGTTTACTAGTAATTTTGCTCTACCTGTAATATAGAAGAAGTATAGAAGCTCCTGTCTCGCTGAGATGGAGAAAAGAGAGCCGCGTGCTCGAATTACCTTGGAAGAGCAATGCAAAAACCACGACAGCGCCAGTTTCTTAAAGGAATCTTGCGCGGAAAAATCATGATTCTATTTCAGCCATAAATCACTGGCTTGAGACTCATTATCCACGATAATAGTGAAAAGAACTGAAGTATTGCTTTCGTTTTGATTAGAAATTCGAAAACTCGAAAAGGCTGCTACGCGTTCGAATTGCCCACGGACGTCTTTCACGAATGCTGGCGACGGGGATGCTCAAACTTGGTTCTTGGAGTGCATTCACTAGAAGCTCTTTCTGGCCTTCTGCTTCGTTGCATTCACATCTTACACTTCTACTCCATCCTATTCCCATCGATCGATTTGTCTCCACTCTCCGAAATCGCGCGCTTTAACCCGATTCTCTCATTGCGTCGCCTGGTACGTAGCCGGCCAAACGCCGTCTTCTTTCCATGCCTCGCCTGGCTCTTCATGCGTGAAACTTTGTGTGCTATTTCCAGTGATCACAACTGACATATTCATGTTAGGAAAGAGTGCAAGAATTTTCCGCGCAAGATTCCTTTAAGATTCCTTCCTTACGTCTCATGGTTCGCGCACGCCTCAAGGCTGATTAGATTTTATGGAATCGTATTGCTGATCTACGCTGCTCCTTCGCTTGATGTCTCTTCCTCTCTCCTCGGTTTCTTTCACCTATTATTTCGCCGCCTGCTTCTTAGACTTTTCCACAGCGTAGAAGAAACTGACTTGATATTTTGGTTTTTTTTCCTGTAGATATTCCTTTCCTTTCTTTCTTAACTGGCGGTCCAATGTGTATCCTCAACCTCACTATCGAGCGCTCCTTCTACACCATCTTGATGCTAAGGCAAGCCTTTAATCACTGACCACTGCAATATTTCAGCAGAAAGACAGCAAGACAGCTTGTTTCATTGGTTTTCTTTTGTAATATATTTTTCTTTCATTCTGGCCTTCAAAAGCAGCCGAAGGGTGAATTTAAGGGGGAAATTCCAAATTTTTTTGCACTATTTACCCTTCACTGCTCCACTCCTCCAAAAACTGAGCCGGATTTTATCGAAGTTTATCTATGAGTGAGCATTTGGTGAACAAAAAAATTGCCTCCGAGGATACTTTACACGATAAAGGGCGGAAGTGGTGTAGTGGCAAGTGGCACGCTTACCACGCGAGCGGTCCGGGGATCAAATCCTGGGTCGTGAGTCGCCCGGGCCAACCAAGCCTTCCATCCCTCCGGGGTCGGTTAATTGGTACCAGACTTGTCTGGGAGGATAAAAACACTGACTTGTACATCGGCTGGCCCCCGCAAGTCATTGTATAGGCCACATCGCATTCAAACGCCACTACGAATGTACAAATGGAAGTAGAATGCGTGCCGCATCCCAAAAAGGGATTGATCAACGGCAAATGCTTTATCCTTTTTCAGTCTGTCAGTTCTACCCATAGAACACGAATATCACTTTCGTTTGGCGTTAAAAGGCTTGGCAGCTCTGCCACAAGTGCCGGCGCTTAAAGGCGCAGAACACTATGGATCACCAAATTCGCAGTCTTGTCGTCAAGGGTACCTTGACCTGTAGAACATGAATATTACATTAGTTCGTTGCGGCGGAGCCTGTAGCCCAGGGACGCCGGTGCAAAACTAATGTGATAGCTTCTGCGCCACAGGCGTTACACATTAATTTTGGTGGCGCCAGCATCGGTGGCGCAGACGCCAAGAGTTCTCGCGCCAAACGAATGTGATGTTCGTGTTCTACGGGTCGAACTACCCCAGAAGGCAACTTTCTAGCCGAATGCTCAGTCATGGAAAAATTTCGATAAAATCCGGCTCAGTTTCGGAGGAGTGGGCAGTAAGAGGTAATTAGCTTCCAAAATTTCCCAGTATTCTTTTCGTACTATGGTCTAGAAAACAGGCACTGCCCATTACAGTCTCCCAGAAAAAATCTCAATTCTATGATCTATGTACATCCTCCGCAATATGCAAGAATCCATTCCAAAAAAAGCTCCTAATCTGAACGATTTCTCTTTTCAGCTTGACAGTTCTGTTCTGGAAAGGCCAATGCGCCGAGTTTATAATGCATGCTTGTTGAAATCAGAAAAGTTAGATCTCTTTAAGTTCCCTAACGTTTTGAAGAATTCTTTCAATCTTCACTCAGTTATCCTCTTAAACCTAAACAACTATCAGTGATTGAATCCATTCCTGGCTACAACATGCAACATGCATATAATGCTTATTCAGAAATATGATAGCCATTAGATAGCTGTTTTGCTGGAGCAATGAATTAGGAGGGTCAGAAAGTACACATGTTCTTTGGGGAAGAATTCCACGATAAGGTCGAAGGTAAGAGGAAATTTACATGGTGAAAAGACAGGCGGGCTCCCTTGAGGTGCGGACCGACACGCAACGCAATTCGCAGCGGGACTTGGCCCGACCTAGCATGACCCTCCCCGCGGCGCTATCAGCGCGGCACTCTACTGGCTATCTTCTCTCTAGCCGTTTAGCAGCGAGAGCGTTAACGTTGAAGAGGGCAGCACCGATGAAAGTCAATGCGGAAATCAACGGGAGAGGAACGGTAGCATTCCTCAGGTTCTGGGCCGTTTCCATGGCTTTCTTGAACCGGTACCATTGAATGCTTCTACCATGAAAGGAAGCGATCACGATGGATTTGCAAAGGGATTGCTACCCATACGTTATCAACCGATAAAATCTGAGATAGATAATGGTTGGACGAGCGTAACCCCATGGAAGATACGATACGATAAGATAAGAAGGTACGGCTGCTTGATAATGAGGTGCACTCCAGAATGAAAATCGGACGATAACGATAACGGTATCATATCGCACGCTGCCATTGCAACCCCTTTCGCATCGATTCGTACAGTAACGGTCAAAAGTGCTCGCCGGAACAAATTTCTGTGCATTCATTTCCTCACTCGAACAAATCCTTTCAATTATTAATATTTTATGTCTTTTAGTGTTTTCAAATCCTTGAGTGTTGAGGATTCAAGATATTCAAGAGAAAAAAATCTCCAAGTAATCTTCAAATGCTTTCTGAGGGGGAAAAGTGATGCGCAAAAAATCTGTTTAGCGAACACTTTTGACCCCTACTGTAGGTGTATTTGCTACCCGGAAGTGGGTTTCGGCGCCACTGTCACTGAAACGTCACCTCTAATTGGGCAGGATCCCTACCCAATCCAGTACGTAACATTCCTTATCATCCCCATAGGATTTGTCATTACCTCTTCTAATTCTAGTAGGCTGCCTTCATATCCCGAAATCCGCCTTCGCTCGCAAAGAGATGTATGACTTGCTTGGAATGAGAAATGTTCAAGTGATGCCTGAAACACAGAACAAGAATACGATAGCGGCTCCGCCTATCATCGCACAATCTCCACTCTTTTGCTATGTTATTTTGCATATGTTATAAGCCCAATACGTTTTGTTCCATTTGCTTGGAATGCTTCAGCACATTCTGTGTTCTTCAGATCACCGGGAGCTCTGAAAATGCACCTGAAAACGCACTCTCTTCCATGTGTGTGCGACCAATGTGGTAAGAGCTTCAGCAGACCGTGGTTGTTGAAAGGCCACCAACGAACGCACACAGGTTTGTTTTTCATTTTATCTTGAAACCAGATTGATCTCCCGGCAACCGCCGACCTTCCTTCCCTGCGAAGCTTGGCGATCCTCCTCCTCACCTTATCCTCCCCTCCTCCCCTACTGCTCTCCAGCTGCCACTGCAGCACCTTGTGAAATGACTGAAAGTGTACTAAGTAGGTGTTTATATAGCCGTTGAGGTATTATCACAATCACGTTGCAATAATACCTCAACACCGGATCGAACCATAATCTTGAAAGCGGTGCACTCCCTTCCCTTTTCTCCCTCCCCCTGCCCATTCCTGCCCTTTCTCCTTCCTCCCCTGCCCCCTCCCCCTTCTACCCTCCCCTCCTGCCACGGCAGCACCATGTAGAATGAGGCTGAGTGTGTTTATATAGCCGCTGTGGGTGTTATCATGATCATGACATCAACATCACGAAGTGTAGCCCTTCGTACTCCCTGGTTTTGTTAGCGGTTGGTCCGGACGGACAGAACGACACACACACACACACCGACAAACCGACACACCAAAGTTCTGGTTTATATAATGAAGTGATTTTTCATCGTTAGCCCTTTTTATGAAGCTACAAATATTATACTCTCAGGTGAGAAGCCATATGTCTGCTCGTTTTGTGGCCGAAACTTTGCTGATCGAAGTAATCTTCGTGCACACGAACAAACGCATTTCCCACACAGGAAGCACAGGTACCATTAAACGTCATGAAACGTTTGCTATTTTTCCACCGCAAGAACCAGGGAAATTCTCAAAAAAGCCTTTTCAGATGTGGTCACTGTGAACTTTCGTTTGCTCGAGTCCAAGTACTGGAGAAGCACAGGGCTGTTTGCGCTCTCAAACTCGAAGCTCGCACGGAATCTGAAGATCTCTAGAAATATTCATTAAAACCAATAAAAGTAAAAACGAGTTGATTCTGGACAGGCAAAGTTCGCGGAAGCCAATAAAATAGTCTGAGTAATTACGAGAGCGAGGCCTCCTGCCTCTCCCTTATGCAGATTAGGTTCGAGCTGCCGTAGATTTGGCTCCTCAATTTTCACACATGTATTTATCCCATTCTACCCGTATCAGAGAAAAACTGCGACGTAAAAAGCCGCTTTTTTTGTCCAGTCCAGGAAGCGGTTACTAACTCTTTACCCGTTAGGCTTCATCTTCACTCCACTAAAGGATTTATGTGAAGCGTAAGAGATGATTGCAGCCATAAATGACCTCGCACATTGAGTGTAGTAAAGATGCTGACCGATCAAAAAATGAAGTCTTCATTTGCCGGAGATTGTCAGCAACGATTTTGGCATTTCGTTCTGGCACAGTGCGTTCTCGTCCTGCACGAGCTTGTACAAAAAGAACGAAATTACTACAATCACCAAAGAGAAACGGTTATGGAGAATCCGCGAAGTATGCTTATATACAAATGTTCAAATGAACCACCGCCAGGAAATGAGACTCGTCGTCTTCACAGTTGAACCACCAGTTGAATCCGTCCTGTACCGAGCCTATAGTACTTCGCGTGGTTCACCGCTACAATTTTGTTTGAGTCGAACGAAAAGTGGTCTGCCACGCCTGATTTTGCGCTGTTCTTTGCCATCCGTGATCCCGAAAATTATCGCCCTGTACCCGTAAGCATCACGTGGCGCTATAGCAAAGTACGGCGGTACCTTTCAAGGCTACGCCTAGGAGGAGTCTGGAAGCCGGAGAAAATGAAAATTGCTCACACATCCTAAGTTTCTGCTCCCCGCCAAAAGTTCAGTTCCGATTTCAACAAGAAAGTAGATGTTTCACGCGGTTTTAAACGCATTGCCACCACAATGCCCCTGTATTGCGATAGAGCCCATCACGTCTTTGCTCTGTAGGCTTCATGGAAAAGTCATAAGAAGATCATGTTATCACCATTTGGCGCTAACTCTAACATCTACTTTCAAGGGTGCTTCATACTT